TTTGCCATATGGTTTAACACTGCATATTTGTTCAGGGCGAAATTTCAACAATTGAATGATTATATGGCAATCGGTTTAAAATATTTTAATCAAAAATTGTTGATGCGATTGATTGTTGAGCATAACTATTGGGAAAAACAGGTTAGGGATTGTAATGTATTTTTTCGTTGCGTGACATTCATTATCTATTATATCGCGACAATTGGTATGCAATTAATGGTATATATTATACACAATCGGAATACTAGTTTATTGGGAAGGATTTACTCTTCAATACTACTTATTCTATGTTTTACAACAGTTTTCTCAATGAATGTAATGAGTACTTGGATATCAAAGTCCGCTCACAAACCGTTACCACATTTGATATCATTTCTCTGTAAATCTCCGAATTAAAGTTAATTTTTAGCCGATTTTAACTACAGTAAACACCTCCACAACACGCCTGGGCTTTAGCCAATGATAACGATACTGAATAAGGGTTACTTATCGATACTCAACATAGTTATGTATATGTAGAATACATGTACATCGCCGGCGCTAATTATATTTTAATTTTAAGCTTTATGTAATTAGTAATAACTTATATAACATGTACAAACATACAACTATCAACTTGTTGTAAAGGACTTCACCACTCAGTTATGTTACAACAAACTCGATCATTTTTGTGTATTTTCATATGTATTTAAATCGCACCTTTTTGGGTATTTTGGGCGTCTTTTTTAATTTACAGTAAATGCTATAATATTTTGTTATTTGTTATAATTAATATTTATAAAGGTTTTCACAATTTGGATGAAAACTTTACTTTATTTTACACTTTTATTTAAAATATGGGCACAAGAAGTGCGAAACACACGAGGAGTGTGTCTGAGGTTTACATTTTGTAAAGACACTGAAAATGTGTGGTATGTTTAGGCTTTATATATGGACAGAATAGGGTGACATTTGGGTCAATTTGGGTCACAATGTTATTGTCGGCAGTGTTTAAGAGGGAAAATGGGTTACAATAATAACTTTATGGTTAGGAATTAAGGTGAATATATTTCATCAATAATTGCAATTAAGGTAAAAATAAAATTATTGGTAATTTTAGTTTATGCTTTACATCCCCGGGTTTTATGGATTTTGCCCGGGGTGTTTTTGGTGGGCGTGGATGTCCGATTGGCGCGCGTCCTGTGTCTGCGGTGTCCGATGAGGTGGGCGTACATCGAGTGCTGTCTCGGCCAAAGCGGTGGACTATGAGGCCGATTGGTCGGCCACACCGTTCCGGCTCGCGAGAGGTGCTCTTCAGACGTGTCTTCGCCTCTTCGGTGTTGCAGTGGTGGACGGGTTGGTCGGACTGTCCTCTTGCCGGTTGTGTTGGTCTTCCCACTGGGTTTGGGTTGCGGTGGTTGTGGCTGTGGTGTGGGCTTCCCATAGGGTGTGGGTGGAGACGGCTGGGCATTGGGTTTGGGTTGAGGTTTGCAGTCGTGGTGGATGTGGTGTGCAGTCGATGGTGGATATGGATGTGTGGTTATGGCTGGGGTGGTCTCAGGATAGCAGGCAACTATATCCCGGCCGACTTATAAAGGTTTTCACAATTTGGATGAAAACTTTACTTTATTTTAAACTTTTATTTAAAATATGGGCACAAGAAGTGCGAAACACACGAGGAGTGTGTATGAGGTTTACATTTTGTAAAGACACTGAAAATGTGTGGTATGTTTAGGCTTTATATATGGACAGAATAGGGTGACATTTGGGTCAATTTGGGTCACAATGTTATTGTCGGCAGTGTTTAAGAGGGGAAATGGGTTACAATAATAACTTTATGGTTAGGAATTAAGGTGAATATATTTCATCAATAATTGCAATTAAGGTAAAAATAAAATTATTGGTAATTTTAGTTTATGCTTTACATATTTATTAGCTAAACATGTTTATAAGTTTAATTTGCATAGATTTTTCATGTTTTAAAATATATTAATTTTAATGCTATTTTTAATTAAATACTAATTTTTATTACAAATTATTTAAAATTGTAATCTAAACGCAAACTTCATATTGTAAACTTGGTTATTTTGATTTATAGAATTTAATTTTGCATTAAATTGTACTAAACTTATTATATTTTTTATAAATAGAAATAAAAAAAATAAAATACTGTGATTTCATAATAAAATACACATGTATTTTTTGATAATGTACTTTTTATAATCGAGAGAGAGAGAGAGAGAGAGAGAGAGAGAGAGATCGTTATATTACACAATGTTGATTTGATTTATCGCTTTTTCATTGATTTTCAATTAAGGTTTTTATTAAAACAATTTCATAAATCACAAAAATAGTCTAATTATAGTTACATTCGCTCTTATAGTACAGATATTAGCTTTTTAAATATAAGACAAAAACAAGCTATAATTGTTTACAATCTTCATGACTTTGATTTGAGCATTGATTACAGTATTGTTTTGTAAAATATTACTAAAATTGTGAATACAATAGAAATGCATCAAAACTCAAAGATAAACGAATTGAATAGCGTTTGGGTTAATAGTAAGCACTCAAACAATCACATCATACACGCCATCGAGAAGATGGAGAAATACAATAGAAATACATGTGTTTTGGTATCTGAAGACACGGATCAGTATATGTCTGGGAATCAAAAGTGGCGGAGATATTTGTGGATCATAATGTCCAGAATATGCCTATTGGTTAATATTATCCACTTTGCACTCATAGCACTTCCAAACAATGAATGGCAATCGATGTACAATAATACAGTATATTTGGGGTCTCAAAGGCTGGTCTCTCTATCATTATTATGCATATTTATTGGCCATTTCTGTGTCTCCATTGTTGCCATATATCATGAATTGATTTTCAATTAAGGTTTTTATTAAAACAATTTCATAAATCACAAAAATAGTCTAATTATAGTTACATTCGCTCTTATAGTACAGATATTAGCTTTTTAAATATAAGACAAAAACAAGCTATAATAGTTTACAATCTTCATGACTTTGATTTAAGCATTGATTACAGTATTGTTTTGTAAAATATTACTAAAATTGTGAATACAATAGAAATGCATCAAAACTCAAAGATAAACGAATTGAATAATGTTTGGGTTAATAGTAAGCACTCAAACAATCACATCATACACGCCATCGAGAAGATGGAGAAATACAATAGAAATACATGTGTTTTGGTATCTGAAGACACGGATCAGTATATGTCTGGCAATCAAAAGTGGTGGAGATATTTGTGGATCATAATGTCCAGAATATGCCTATTGGTTAATATTATCCACTTTGCACTCATAGCACTTGCAAACAATGAATGGCAATCGATGTACAATAATACAGTATATTTGGGGTCTCAAAGGCTGGTCTCTCTATCATTATTATGCATATTTATTGGCCATTTCTGTGTCTCCATTGTTGCCATATATCATGAATATACTCATAGATTACATGTATTCCGATTTTTCTATCTACTCAAACACCATTTATTAAAATACCCTGTTTCACTTAAAAGTAAGGGTCAGTTTAATTTAATAATCACGTTCATTGTCGATCGTGTAGTAAATCAGGCTACATGGTTTTTGACAATAACTACGGGCGCGTTATTCGCCTACTTATCACTACTAAATTTTATTAATAGACCCACCTGGTTTAGTTTATTAATTATGCTAGTGTACGATGTGGAACTTTTCATGGCGGCGCATTTATGCTATTCAATCACCTGGATCGGTTTTTTCATATGGTTTAGCACTGCATATTTGTTCAGGGCAAAATTCCAACAATTGAATGATTATATGGCAATCGGTTTAAAATTTTTTAATCAAAAATTGTTGATGCGATTGATTGTTGAGCATAACTATTGGGAAAAACAGGTTAGGGATTGTAATGTATTTTTTCGTTGCGTGACATTCATTATCTATTATATCGCGACAATTGGTATGCAATTAATGATTTATATGATACATAAACCGGACACTAGTTTATTGGGGAGGTTTTGGTTTTCAACACTACTTATTCTATGTTTTACAACAATTTTCTCTATGAATGTAATGAGTACTTGGATATCAAAGTCCGCTCACAAACCGTTACCACAATTGATATCATTTCTCAGTAAATCTCCAAAAATTTCAATTCAATATCGGCTAAAATTGATGTCATTTGTGGAGGTGTTGTGCGGACCAGAAATTGGTTACTATTGCTATGACTTATTCCCTATGAATCGCTATGAGTTGTATCAATACATATACATCGCTGGCGCTAATTATTTTTTGATTTTAAACTTTGTGTAATTCTAATATTTAATATTAATTCATAATTTAATTGTAATGTTAATTATTATTTATAAATACATAAATATGTATATTTTCAGTTTTATTATTTATTGAATATAACTGTGTGAGAGGGCAGCACTTATTACTGTATAAATGCATGTATTTGTCTGTCTTTCTCTATCCCTTTCCGCCCAACACTATTTCAATTAGGAATCACTTATACGGAAGATATTTTAATAAATACACTTAACAAAATACCCGTATTTGCCACAATTGTCAATAATTTTAAAAATGTAGTGTAAATTCCCAAATAAATGGAAATACAATCAGATTGGGTTGTGATATTAATCTACAATATATATAAATTCTTTTGCAAAAGATTTTGTTAAAATGCTAGTTCAGGGGCCTGAGCAATTATTGTTAGAAGTTGACAACATTTTTACTTTTATTAGTCGAATAAGTTTGACCACGGCTTTCCGATGAGTAGATAGGTAACCAATCACACCTGGATTAGTTACATGAGATACACATCCTTAAATTTATATACCATAATAAAGATTATTATCAGTTACTTTCTTGTAAAAATTAAATATATTATAGCATGTATAATCTTTCAGAAATAGGGTGCCTACATTGTATATGAAATTACAATAAAGTCAATTAAACAGAATAATTTACAATAAGGCATTTATTGTAAAAGAAAAATACAAATTTATGGGTTGAGGTGAAGTAGAGCTGCGAGAGCGCCCTGAAAGCCGGCGTTATAATCCATGGCCACCTCGTTGTGCACGAAATCGTCGCGTTTATCGGCGTAGCCGTCATTCTTGTCGGGCCCGCCCACCAGTGCGCCCGTCAGTATCTGCGGATTGGGGCCCGGGTTTGACATCGCAGAGTAGTCGCATATGACCGGCTCATTAGGACACGAACTATATGGTTGTTTAGAGTGGTTTTTTCCCGGATTAAGAATTAATTTAAATGTAGATAAAAGTACTTTGAGAGCAAATAACGTACGACGATCGGTGATGGGGTCGTGTGGGAGGGTTGACACCTACGCCCACCACAAAGCTCCGGCCGGTGTCGCCCAACGCGTACCCTATTTGCGATTTGGCAAACCTTTTGTAAACTTCCGGATTTATGCCCACTTTTGCCGCCTTTAATCATGTAATAGTTATTTGTATTAAAACTACTGATTATTTTAATTGATGTTTAAAATTATTAATTCTGTCCAAACCTGAAGACAAACGAAGGCAACATTAGAGGCGTGTCTAAGTGTTCCCCATTGATCGATGTAAACCATACCTATAATTTTACCATGATAATTAATTGGTTGTTTATAAACTATAAGTTAATATAATTGAAATAAACTTCTAAAGGTGAAAGAATACAAGACATTTATATTGGGATATTTTTGATCGTAATGTATTATATTATGGGATACTTACTATAATTATTTTTGTATTGATAGTATTATAATAATTTGTTAATATTATAATAAGCTGTAAATTAGTAATTTACTATATAAACATGTAATATGGATATGAAACTTGCAATTTTATAATACTGGGAATACAAAACCATGCTTAAACAAGTTTTTTTGTGGGGATAAAACTGGTTTTTTGTCAAATAAACCTTACATTGTACAAAATGTATAAATTATAATAATTGATTTAATTACAAACTATAAATTAATAATAACTTTTATAGCATGTACATTGTACACACATAAAAACTATCAACAATTACAACTATCATTTCTGAAAATGTATTCAAAACCCGTCTTTTAGGTGTTTTGCGAGTTTTTGTTTGCATTTACAATATTTGCAATAATATTTCATTTTATAAACTGTAAATTAATATCTATGAACTAAACATGTACATAAATATAATTTGCAAATAAGTTATTTTTGGAGAACGTTATGACCCTGTTTTAATAGCCAATATTTTTATGACATACCTTTTGGTGTTTTAGGCGCCGTATAGACGACCCAATCGCAGAAATTCTTGGCCAAAGTCTTATACTTTTGATCGCCGGTCACTTCGGCCGCCAGAACCTGAACCCCAGCGGTCTTATCGTCCCAACCAAACTGTGTGGGCCTTCCCGTCAACTGAACGCTAAACTCGTTGAAATGTTTATCAATTTCCGATCTATACTGGCTATCATTGGTAGCCCTGAGCAGCCACGTGGCAGCCCAGGCCAACTCGTCGCCAAAACCCGACCACGATTTGTAAAAGTTTTGAGCGTCGGTGATCTCTGCCGTATAAGTGCTCCGATGTTTGTCCGCAAATGTATACAAAGACTTGGCGTGAGTTAAAAGTGTGACCGAATAGTTGGGATCCGTTGCATTGAAGGCCATGGAGGCCGCGGCCAGAGCTGCCGACGTCTCGCCCAACAAATCGGTGCCTAATTATTGTTATAATTGTTAATATAATAACTATACGATTGAAAAATGTGTTTAAGTGATACCTCCGTGAGCTGTCGTTACTTTATACGCGGGCCTTACTTTACTCTTAGGCCATTCCTCGGGTCGGCCCCACACCGCGTGATCCTCTTCGCCATTACCCACCTGTCCGTAAAACTCTGTGTCACTCGTGTGGCACTAAACATGAAGTTAATAAAATAGTTTTTGATAATTTATGTTAATATTAAAATTAATAAACAGTTTTTTATATACTTTAATGAAGTAATCGGTGCCCCATTTGATAGCCTTCAGCGCATTATCTAATTCGCCGGCCTTTTGGTAGGCGTCCGCATAGTCGACGACACCCCACGCCAGTAGTGTCATAGAGGCGGCCATTGGGAAACCAAACTTCACTAAATCACCGGCTTTTACAACAAAATGCAATTAAAAACATTAATGTAATAATCATTAAACACTACAATACTAGAGAGCATACCATCGAAGTAACCGCCGGTCAAATCCTTGCCAACGTCTTTGCCGTCGTCGAGCATAGAGTCTCCCCTCCAGTGAATCCTCTTATCTGTGGGTAATTTCCCGGATCTCTGGGCCTCATAGAAGAGTAGAGAGGCGTGAATCACAGCCCCGTAGTTGTAATGACCCGGCTCTCCGTCCGGCACTATAGTGACTGGCCATACAGTGGATACCGGCCCTAAACATGTTTAATATAATTTTAGTTATATTTATTTGCATTACTCATATTATTTTTACCAATATCGATGGCTTTGCCTTTAAATGTGGCGCTATATAAGTATTAAAATTTTCAACATAGTTATAACTTATAAGTTTATCATAATGTTGTTTATAAGTTTGCAAAAATATTGGATTGCCAAACGCACCCGATAAGATTAGCTCCCGGATTTCCATCGTATCTGGCCTCGTAGGAAACTGTGTGTGTTTCACCAGGTTTTAACTGCTCGCCACCTATGGTGAATTTAAGCTCGTCAGCGCTGGCACTTTTCACTGTCCCGCCGCTCATTATCTATAATTAGACAAATAATTAAACTATCATGTTAATTTTAATTATTTATAAAAATAGACTTACCTTGAGCATAACTTTAGCGTCAAACACCATATCGATAGCCCAGTCGCCGGTCTCACCGCTCAAATCAAACTCCGCTTGTGTGGCGCCCGTGAACTCAGTTCTCAGTTTGTAAGTACAGGTGCCGTAAGCGCCGGCCGTTAGCCAACACACGGCTAAAGCTATGTATAATTGTGTGCACATATTTAAGTAAGTTAATATGAGCACTGTAAACTATAAAAGACCTTGTTTGTTTGAAAAAACTTACCAGCTTTATATACTCCAGTACACAACCATTGTTATCTGTAAAAGTAGATTGTTCAAGTGTAAGTTCACCTTGTATGGACGGAGCCG